CAAATGTCTTTCTTCTTCAATAAATTTACTGCATAAAGGTTAAGAGCATGGGTTCTGAATCTAACAAACCCAGGTTTAAATCTTGACTCTACCACCTTGGGAAAATGAATTGACATCTCTGTGCTTCAGATTCCTCATTTGCGAAACGGAGATGATGCTAATAATGTCTATCTCATTTAGTTGTGAAGATGAACTGGGATCCTGAACCTCAGTGCTTAGCACAGCACCTGCACTCAGTAAATACACAATAAGCATTACATTTAAAATTTAAATTGTTATTATCCATGATTGTTATTTAACTTGTAGGTATAATTTACAATGTGTAGACCCAAAAACCCATTGCTATCGAGTTGATTCTAACTCACAGTGACTCTATAGGACAGAGTAGAACTGCCCCCATAGGGTTTCCAGAGCGGCTGGTGGATTCCAACTGCTGACCTTTTGGTTAGTAGCCCAGCTATTAACTACTGAGCCACCAGGGCTCCAGGATATGTAGAAACCCAGTCTAAATCCTAAACAGGTCACACTCTGGCACAGTTAAGTACACACATGCCCAAATGCTTTCTCCTGGTGAGGGCTGGTAATCAGCTGATAAGTACACGACAGCCAGCTGGTTGTTAAAATATTAAAGTAACTTTCCTATCGCTTGGCAAATGGCTGCTGCTGTCTGTCACCTTCTTAAAGTGCCTCTGTTCCCACTCCTGCCACCCCACCACCCTGGCCATCAAGGCCCTTGCTCGAATCCTCCCCAGTGGAACCTCCGAATGATCCAGCAACTAGGAGATTGTTTTAAACTGAGTTAAGCCAGTTTGGTTGTGCACAGCCATTAGATTCTTTTTTATAGGTAACAGTAGCCAGCAGAGAAGTTACCGGTGGGTGAGGGGTAATTGCTCTAGCACCTCCCTGCCTGGTTATAAGGAAAGCAAGTCTCAGGTCAAAGTCCACTCCTCTACACAGACTTTTTTTTGTTTTTTTTAAATTGTGCTTTAGATGAAGGTTTACAGAGCCTATTGTTTTTTGGCCTTAGTTGCCAGTTCTGCGACATGTCAACACTCCCCCGTTCTCTACCTTGGGTTCCCCATTTCCATTCGTCCAGCTTTCCTGTCCCCTCCTGCCTTCTCCTCCTTGCCCCTGGGCTGGTGTGCCCATTTAGTCTTGTATACATGGTTGAGGTATGTGTGTTACTGTTTGTTTTATGGGCCTGTCTAATCTTTGGCTGAAGGGTGAACCTCCAGAGTGACTTCAGTACTGAGTTAAAAGGGAGTCCGGGGGCCATACTCTCAGGGTTTCTCCAGTCTCCATCAGACCAGTAGGTCTGGTCTTTTTTTGTGAGTTTGAAATTTGTTCTACATTTTTCTCCAGCTCCATCTGTTGTGATCCCTGTCAGAGCAGTCAGTGGTGTTAGCCAGGCACCATCTAGTTGTGCTGGATTCAGTCTGGTGGAGGCTGTGGTACTTGTGGTCCATTAGTCTTTTGGACTAATCTTTCCCTTGTGTCTTTGGTTTTCTTCATTCTCACTTGCTCCAGATGGGGTGGGACCAGTGGGGTATTTTAGATGGACGCTCACAAGCTTTTAAGACCCCAGACGCTACTCGCCAAAGTAGGATGTAGAACATTTTCTTTATAAGCTATGTTATTCCAGTTGAACTAGATGTCCCCCGAGACCATGGTCCCCAGCCCTCAGCCCAGTAATTTGGTCCCTCAGGGAGTCTGGATGTGCCTATGAAGCTTCTATGACTTTGCCTTGGTCAAGTTGTGCTGGCTTTACTTTCTTACCCTTCACCAGAGTTACCACTTACCTGTTGTCTAGTTAGTGTTTTTCCATCTCCATCCCTGCCCTCCCTCATAACTATCAAAGATTGTTTCTTTCTGTGTGTAAACCTTTGCATGAGTTTTTATAATAGTGGTCCCATACAGTATTTGTCCTTTTGTGATTGACTTATTACACTCAGCATAGTGCCCTCCAGATTCATCCATGTTGTGAGATGTTTTGCAGATTCATCCTTGTTCTTTATCATTGCATAGTACTCCATTGTGTGTATGCACCATAGTTTGTTTATCCATTCATCTGTTGATGGGCATTTCGGTTGTTTATATATTTTTGCTATTGTGAATAATGCTGCAGTGAACATGAGTGTGCATATGTCTATTCGATCTACACAGACTTTTGAGGGCAGTGTGGTTCAGTGATAGAATTCTCCCCTTCCATGTGGAAGGCTCAGGTTCTGTTCCTGGTCAATGTACCTCATGTGCAGCCACTACCCATCTTTCGGTGAAGGCTTACATGTTATGATGCTACACAGCAGTTTAATCTCTCTGTGTTCTACTTAGCACATCTGTAAAATGGGATTAATAATGAGGCTCATTTTGAGGAACACAGTGGTAAGCTAGCTGACATATAGTCCCCAAACTCATAGAACTTACCGTCTTGTCAGTAAAACAAGCATTAACTAAAAAAATCACAGAAAAACAGCTATGATATGGTGACCATGCTGACACCAGGTAGGAGAGGTACACAGTGCCCTGTGAGTCACCTGACTTAGCTGGGGGGTCGGGAAGGTATTCTTAAGGGAGTGACACTGAAGCTAAGCCCTGAAAGGCAAGTCAACATTCACTAAGTGAAGAGGGGGAGAGGGGACAGTATATGCGAAGGCCCTATGGTAGATGGTAGAAGAGGCTGTGTATGCAGAGGCCCTGAGGTGGGTGATGGAAGGAACTGTGTGTGCAGAGGCCTTGTAGTGGGTGGCAGAAGGGACTGTCTATGCAGAGGCCCTATGATGGGTGATGGAAGGGACTGTGTGTGCAGAGTCCCTGTGGTGGGAGACGGAAGGGACTGTGTGTGCAGAGTCCCTGTGGTGGGTGGTGGGAGACGGAAGGGACTGCGTGTGCAGAGGCCCTGTGGTGGGAGACAGAAGGGACTGTGTGTGCAGAGGCCCTGTGGTGGGAGACGGAAGGGACTGTGTGTGCAGAGTCCCTGTGGTGGGAGACGGGAGGGACTGTGTGTGCAGAGTCCCTGTGGTGGATGGTGGGAGGGACTGTGTGTGCAGAGGCCCTGTGATGGGAGACGGAAGGGACTGTGTGTGCAGAGTCCCTGTGGTGGGAGACGGGAGGGACTGTGTGTGCAGAGGCCCTGTGGTGGGTGGTGGGGGCGGGGTGAGTGCCAGGAGATGGTCAGGGTGTCTAAGAAATGAGATACAGGAGGAACATAGCAGGAACCAGGCCTCAAAAAAAAAAGCAGTGGGAAGTCACAGCAGGGTGCTAGGCAGGAAGGAAGCATGATCCAAGGTCTGGCTACAACCAGGAGGAGTTTGAATACATTTGACACCACAGGGTAACAGACTTGGGTCTTACTGAGAAGGAGTCTCCTCGTTTCTGCTTTGGAAGAGTTTGGTTTGACAGGCTTGATTTATTGCCTATAAAGAACACATAAGAGACTCAGCCCATTAAAAAGCAGAATGAGGACTTTTCTATGATCCCAGCTTGTCCTGAGGCATAGAGAGCAAGGGAGGGTTGGGAGTTCAGCCCATTTTCCTCATGTGGCCCTGGGAAACACTCCGGCCAGGCCCGGCGGTGGCAACTCTCAAGGCCATACATTCCCCAGGCTCCACGGGGCCATTGCCTGTGCCTACTAGCCGTCCCAGGGTCCACAGACAAGTTTGAGACCTGGGGAGAAAAATCATTGGCTCTAAAATTCATAAATACAAAATGCAGAATTAAAAATGAATAAATGATTAAATAAATATCCGCAAATGTGACGGTGCAGACTTCATTAACTGTTAATGTTAACATTCATTAATGTTTCATTACATTTGAAAACAATTGGTTCGATTTCTCACTTCACAAGAAGACAGAGAACGAGCAGTGATTGCCCAGAAATCATAGCCAGTTGAAAGTTAAAAAATTCCTTAGAGTCAAGGAATCTCAGAAGCAGAATTCTAGAAATCCTTTCAAAATTTCTACACACACACACACAAAATGTATTCAGTGTTGATGTGAATGAATTGTAATATGTTTGATATGATATATGGTGGGAACCTCCAAAGATAACAATGCCAGAATCCCTGAAAGTCATCTAAACAGCTATTGAAACATCGGGGGTTAAGTAAGAAAAAAGAATCAGAAAAACCTAAATACCCTTCAAGTGGATCCTAGTTAAGTAAGTTCTGATGCATTTGTACCATGGACTACAGTGCTACTGTTAAAAAAAATGTGGGACAGCTACAAATATTGCCATGAGAAGATGTCTTTGCTACATCGTCAAGTAAGAAAAGCAAGTTGGAAAAGAATATCTGTAATATAGTTCCATTTTTTTTAATGATATAAATTTTAAATGTATATAATTGCAATAAAAATAGCTAATATTAATGCTAAATGCTTTATATCAGGAGCCAGCAAATTTTTTCTGCAAATAGCCAGATAGTAAATATTTTAGGTTTTGTGGGTCATACGGTCTCTGTTGCAACTACTCAAGTCTGCCTTTGTAGCGCAAAAGCGGCCATAGACAATATGGAAACAAATGATGGTAGCTGTGTTACAATAAAACTTTATTTACAAAAATATGTTATGGGCCAGATTTGGCCCCAGGGCCGTAGTTTGCCAACCCCAGCTCTAAATAATTGTTTAATCCTCACAATGACTGTTTAATAGAAACTATTAGTGTCACTAAGTTATCTATGTGGAAACTAAGGTTTAGGGAGATTAAATGACCTGCCTAAGGTCATCAGCTAGTATGTGGCATAGAAAAAATTCTGGAATGGGACACATCAAAGTGAACAACAGTGCAGTTAGCATTGGGGAAGAGGAATGAGGCAGGGCTTCCCCTTTCAATATTTCTGTAATGCTTTCATTGTTTTTCAATGACCATATACACCACTTTACAAGTTATATAAGATGTAAATCACAAGGGGAAATGAACTTGAAGGTTAATCTGGAAATAGTCTTCAAGGCCTTAGGGAAACTCACAGTTCTGTTTTGTACCCTCTGTTGACCTTGTGCACTAGTGTGGACCAGTGCTGTGGATCTGCCTGGACAAGGAGTGGCTGAGAGACCTCCTGGGGCAGGACCTCCCAGGGAGACATATGCTGATCAGGACCTGGCCCAGCAAGATAAGGTGAGGGGCCTTGGGAGGGACAGAGCTACAGCAGCAAGTGGACTGGATGGACCATGGAGGGACTTGGCCACTGCCTCCTGCAGTTCTCTGTGACCTGGAAGTGCCTTTTTTCTTTGCTTCCATAAAAAAAAAAAAAATTGCCATCAAGTCGATTCCAACTCACAGCGACCTTATAGGACAGAGTAGAACTGCCTCATTGAGTTTCCAAGGCTGTAATCTTTACAGAAGCAGACTGTCACATCTTTCTCCTGGAGCGGCTGGTGGGTCCAAACAGCTGACCTTTCGTTTAGCAGACGAGTGCTTAACCACTGTGCTATCAAGGCTCCTTCCTTCCAAGAAACCACCTCGTATTCCTAGGAGATTCAACCAAGGTTTTGTTCATTTTATCCCAAATAACAACAACATCCACAGCCACCGGTTATTGATCACCTACTGTGTGCTGGACTGTGTCCTGTGCACCTCACATTCTTTAGCTCATCTAATCTCCCCAGTCTTGAAAAGAGATTTTTTTGCCCTCACTTTACAGATGAGGAAACTGAAGCTCCGAGAGGTCAAGTAATTTGCCCAAGGCTGCACAGTGCAAGGGACAGAATTGAGATCCAAGCCCAGGTCTGGTTGACTTCTAAGCTAGTACTTCCAACTTCCACAACAGTAACTATCACACAGTCAACCATGAGTGATGGAAAACACATTTCCTAACAGGAGGAAGGGAGAGCTGAGGTCAGAGGACTCCGTGAAGGAGAGAGACTTGTTGAAGAACCAGAGAGGTTTAGAGAGTGAAACAGGAATGGGAGCCAGAATAAGTGAGTGCAGGTAGTCCTGCGAAGGACTCAGGTTGGTTTCTCCCCAGTGAGCCACAACCCGGAAATTCTTAAAGAAGCAATCCGGCAGTATCTTGCTTTCCTTAAGGATCAGGCCTTGAGCCAGCAGTGGTTCTTGGAGTCTGTAAAGACCAGACCCATCTGGGGTTCTGTTTAGACATAGGAATGACATGTCTGGGAATCTGCAACTTCAGGTTACAGGTGGTCCTGATGCAGGCGTCCTGGGACCTGCATCAGACTTGGGGAGATACTGCTGTAAGATGAGAAGCCAGGCTAGGAGGCTGTTATGGACTGGACTGTGTCCCCCCACCCCTTCCCCAAAATTTGTATTGGAACACTAACCCCTATACATGTGGATGTAATCCCATCTGGGAATAGGGTTTTCTTTGTTATGTTAATGAGGCTATATCCGTACAGGGTATGTTTTAAGCCAATCACTTTCAAGATACAAAAGGAGAAGTTTAGGCATCACAGCAAACAAGCATAGATGGGGAAAGATAGATGTCACATGAAGATCACCAAGGAACCAAGGAACAGAAACAGTTAAGAGACAAGGACCTTCCCCCAGAGCCAACAGAGAGAAAGCCTTCCCCCAGAGCTGGCACCCTGACTTTGGACTTCTAGCCTCCTAAACTGTGAGAAAATAAATTTGTTCGTTAAAGCCACCCACTTGTGGTATTTCTGCTATAGCGGTACCACTTGAGATAGATGCTGTATGAGGTATCTGTGGCTGTGTAACAAGCCATCCCAAAGCTTAGTGCCTTAAAATTGCAATGTATTATTTCTCACCATTCTTCACTTGACTTGGAAAGTTCTTCTGCTGGTATCTCCTTGTCTCATTCCTGCAACTACAGTCAGCTGGTGGCTTAACCTAGGCCGATGCTCTAAGATGGCCCCATCCCCATGTCTGGGATCTCAGCCAGGATGCCTGGAATGGCGGCCTCTCTCTGCACACGGTCTTTTACCCCAGGAGTCTTCACAACACAGTGGCCTCAGGTTCCCAGAGAGTGAAGGCGGAAGCTATACAACCTCTTGAGAGTGTGCTTGGAAATCTTTCGACATCACTCCCACCAATTCTCTTAGTCAAAGTCACAGGGCCAGTCCAGATTTAAGAGGTGGGAAAATAGACTTCACCACTTAATGGCAGCAACTGCAAAGTATTTGTAGCCATTTTTAAATCTACTACATTTGTTACACTGGAAATGCAATATAACCACATTTATCATTTTTTTCTATTTATGAGCCATTAATGCCCTGACCTGCCAGGATTCTTTTGGGTGCAACTGACAATAAACAAATAGGCTTTTTTAAAAAAGCATTTATTGGCTCCTCATGTTATTGGAAAATTTCAAGGCCAGATAGCTTCAGGCATCGCTGGATCCAGGAGCTTAGATGGTATCGTCAGAATTTTACCCATTACAAATCTCTCTGCTCTCTTTCCCTTGTAGTTTGCCTTTCCCCAGCAGACTGGCTTAAAGTATTGGAAAAGATGGCCACAAGCAACCCCAAGCCTATAAAGTTAAAGTTTTTGATCCAAAAGGAAGCGAGATTATTTCTCTTGCACATGTGGACGTGGGACAGGAAGGAGCTAGACATATGATTGACAGTCCTACCAAGACCCCATGGAAAGGCCCAGAGTCCTCACCAGAATGGCAGAGACAGCAGCTGTACGCTACCCCCTGCAGGTTTCTCTGTATTCGAGCACCAGCACAGGGCCTGGCACATAGTAAATGCTCAATAAATGTTGCTGCATGAATAATGAATAAGCACCTGACTGAGCATGAGGCTTTGGATGACCACAATTGGGTGTAGAAGGGGGCTGCTCAGGAACACCAAATCTGTTTGAGGCTGTCCCTTGAAAGTTTGCCACAGGCATTCTCAAGGACCCAAGGAAAGGCCCTTGGTGGCAGTGAGCCAAATACCAAATGGGCTCCTACTTGACCAAAACCCTCTGCTTCCTCAGATCACAGAGCTGGAAGGTCATGCACCCTATGCAATAAGCCCACCTAGAAGGTTCCTGCACCCCACGCAATGAGCCCACCTAGAAACCACCCATTTACCTCCTTCTCACCGATGGAGAATCGTTGGAAGAGCAGGGACTTCTTTAAAAGCAGTTGATCTTAATGGGCACCGGGGTTTCCTATTGGGGTGATGAGAATGTTCTGGAACTAGACAGAGGTGGTGGTTGCTCAACATTGTGACTGTACTAAATGTCACTAAATTGTGGACTTTAAAATGGTTCATTTCAGGTTTGTAAGAATTTCACCTTAATCAAAAAAAAAAAAAATACAGTTGACCAGAAATTCTGTAACTGCCTATGACAGTACATCTGGAGAATTTCTTTTTTCAGCCTTCCTGACATTTTATTGATGACGTCTGGTGATAAGTGTTGTGAATTCCCCCCCACCCCCGTCTTTTTTGGAGAAAGCTAACAAATTCTTTGGCTGCAGTGCTTTTTCTTTTGGAGAGGTGGAGGACTGGGTTAATTATACCTCAGGGGAAAATCTGCGAGCAATTTATTTTTTCCCAACCTGGAGTTTACATAAGCCCACACAAATAAATTACCATTCCTCTGTCATTTGGAGCCCTGGTGGTGCAGTGGTTAAGAGCTTGGCTGCTCACCAAGAGGTCGGCAGTTCAAATCCACCATCTGCTCCTTGGAAACCCTATGCGGCAGTTCTGCTCTCTCCTATAGGGTCACTAGGGGTCAAAATCGACTCGACAGCAACGGGTTTGGGTTTTTGGTTTTCTCTCCTTTACTTTCCAGGCTCATTTACCTGGTATGTATTTTTATGTGAATAACCGACCGGGCATAGGGAGTACCAGAAGAGAAGAAAGAGAAAAGAAATATTTCAGAATTTATAAAACATTTTTAATTTTTTTCAAATTAAAAAAATAGTCCCCATTACAGTCAGAATGTGGTCAAATAAAACACCCTTGCTTCAGTCATTTTTCAAATTACCTTTCCTAGGTCCCCAGTGCACAAGCAGGGGCCCGGAAAGTTAACACCAAAAAGTATTGTAAATAAACTTTCTGGCAACAAAAGTTCCCATGTGGGATGGTTATTCTTGATATGAAAGTATCATTTTAGGGGAAAGGCAAGTTTCAGTACCTGTGAGGTATAAAAACCCTCTATAGGAGGACTGTGGAGACTTGGTGGCTCAGTGGTTAAGAGCTCAGCTGCTAATCAAAAGGTCGGCAGTTCGAATCTGCTAGCCGCTCCTTGGAAACCCCATAGGGTAGTTCTGCTCTGCCTGTAGGGTCTCTGTGAGTTGGAATTGACTCGACAGCAATGGGTTTGGTTTTATACAGGTCCCTGGGTAGAGCAAACGGTTTGCACTCGACTACCAACTTAAAGGTGGGCAGTTGGAACCCACCCAGCAGCACCTCGGGAGAAAGGCCTGGCGATCTGCTTCCGTAAAGTTAGAGCCAAGAAAACCTATGGAGCAGTTTTGCCCTGTAACACATAGGGTCACCATGAGTCAGGATTGACTCAAGGGTAATGGATATGGAAGGCTATATAACATGTTGCTGTCGAGTCGATTCCAACTCAGGGTGACCCCATGTGTGTAGAGTAGAACACCCCTCCATAGGATTTTCAAGGCTGTGACCTTTTAGAAGGAGATTGCCAGAGCTTTCTTCTGAGGCTTTTCTGGGTGGGTTCAAACTGCCAATCTTTCAGTTAGTAACTGAGCACTTAACCATTTGCGCCCCCCAGGGACTTCTTGGGAGCCTGTATACAAGTATATAATTGTAACCCAACTCTTGTATCTGTGAGGTTTTCCAAGTGACAGACATAGCCCTGAGTGTCTGCCTTTTCCCTCCCCGCCTGCCTTCACCTTCCCAAAGAATGTTACTGTATTTTTCCTTGCACACACCTAGTAAACTTCCTATCTCATCTCTACTCAGGATGAAATCATTCTGCTGCTGGGAAAAGAAGTCAGCCGTCTCTCCGATTTTGAAATTGAATCCAAATACAAAGATGCCATGATAGCCAACCTGCAGAACGAAGTGGCTGAAATGACTCAGAAGCTGTCGGCGGTGGCAACCCCCAGGCCGAATGATCCGGCAGTATCACAGAAGCCTCAGGTTCCGGATGAGGGCATCGACGCCAGAGAGAGAGAGATCCAGAGCTTGAAAGGCCAGGTAGAATGCAGAGACAAGTTATCCCTGTCCTCAGAGCCGCAACAACAGGGTGACAACTCTTGGGGTAGACCTGGGGACCACCAAGGCAAGCATGACT